AAATTACAAGTCTAACACTTGATTTGTAAATATAACACGTCTTGTTTTGTTTCCCCCTCAAAAGTCAAAAGTAATAAGTTCATTTAGGTAGATATCATAAAATTTATCTAATAGTCAAATTTACCATATACCACACGTCTTGTATTGTCGCATAACATGATTTTTGTCGAAATAACATGATATTTTTCATAAATTGTTTAACCATTTCGATAACTTTGGTTCAGTGTTTTTAATTACAATGTTGAGGATTCTAGTGAAAACCTTTTATTGTGTTTGTTTTTCTGCTGAGAACAGGATCATGCTCTTCTGTTGATAAATACTACTGGTTTATGTAACAGTTCTACAGTTGGTAATATTCGACCATTTATGTTTTATGATACGGCTGTTGCAAAAAAAGCATTTACCGTATTCGCAGATCCACCATCGCCAGAATCATTGGCAGCCACAATATAGCGGCCACGTCGAGTATAGCGATCATCAATTAAAATAGTAATATACGTTAAAAAGTCAGATAGTCTTGACATCCGAACCAACCTGCGCAATGTATAATAATGAAATTAATAATAGCTATATAAATAACGTATATGATATACAAAAAATTATAAAGACCTTTATAGTTGGAAAACAGAAAAAAATTAGAAAGACCTTTACAGCTTTACATAGGAAGTCTTTCAAAATTATAGATTGAATGAATCAGTGAAAGCGGCAAATGTCCAATGTGGGACATACAGTGTGGACGGAGACTCCGAAAGCTTGGAACGGAACCATCACCTGAGAGAAGAAGAAGGCACATACATAACAAGCGAATATATAAGCACAACAAGAAAAAAAAGTAGCAGAGGTAAAAGATGACCTCGTAGTCTTCCATGTAGTCACCGCACAAGATCAACACAGTTCTCGAGAGAGAGATTCTGCTTGAACGTGTTTGTTTTAAAATTCTGGAGAGAGAGATATGAGTGTGTGTTCTGGAGAGATCTGGTAACGGCGACGTTTGGGGACGAGTGGAGCACGCGTGGGGAAAATTATAACGAAATTTAAAAAAAAATCGAGAAAGGCAGGTTCGAACCTGCGCGGGCAAAGCCCACATGATTTCTAGTCATGCCCAATAACCACTCCGGCACGTCCACTTGTTTGGACATTATGTATTAAGGAAATCTAATATATACTTTTAATGTTAAAGTTGAACATTTGCAAAACACCAAGTTTGAAGCAAGTATGTAAGAACGCCTACCAGAAAGATGGCACCTGAATATAATACTCTTGGCAAAATTTGTTTGTAAACTAAATCGATCGAAGGTCACAATACTAAAAAAAACACAAAAAGTATTCATGTAGTTTGTGACCAATAATGGATTTGTTGCTCGGAGATGGATTTTTTCCATGTTCGTTCTTTCTTTCTCTAAATCACATTGCCGATATGAACAGCTGAATTCTTGCTTGTCCTCGTTCCTTCTCCTCCGGTCCTTCAAGATCTCCTATGTTGTCATGATATTCCTATAAAGGGTTTATGTTAGTGAATGCAAACAACAACAAAATATAAGACAAATGGGTCACAAAGAGTATAAGTAACACAAACAAACGATGTGGAAATGGAATCTCTGAATTACTAACAAATTTCTCTAAAATGCTAGCCTGTGGTTATTTCAGTGAATCAAATTGTTCTAAAGTTCCCCCATTTCAATTCAAGCCACTAATTAATTGGTGTGGAGACTATAAGTGAGATAAGAGAAAGAGAACCTGAAGAATCGCCTTGACGTCATTTTTACTAAGCTTCTGTTGCTTCAACAGCAGCTCGATACGTGCTCTCATTCCAGAATGCCTACATAAAGTATACATCATAGCAAGCTCGATACTAAACTATGATTATCCACTTTATTATATACAATGTAAACCGAACATAATGATGTTTTTACATTCATAAGAAAGGTTTGAAAATACAGAACGAACTGAGAAAGTTTCTCAGTCGTTTGCTTCACTAAGTATATAGCAAGCAAAGTGACTGCTGCTTCGACCAGTTGCAACGAGGAGAAAGTCTCGTCAAGGTACAAATACCTGGTCCAAACCAGACAAATCAGGATACCAGTACGAACCAATGACTAAAGAAACTTGTGATCAAAATCATGGATTTGTTGTTAGCTGATTTTGGTCTTACCCAAAGATTGAGGCAAACATTGGTGTCAAGAAGGTGAGTGAGCTGAGTTTAGTCAGGCTTCCTGTGAAAAAGACATCATAAAAGCATCAGAAATCTGAAACTTGAAGCAGCGATACTATGAACGAGAAGGTAGCAAAATAGAACCTTTAGTCGCGCTGTAGAAATAAACACCGTAGCTAACTGCACTGCCAAAAATGGATGTGTAGAGAAGTGCTATGACATCATTTGTGGAAAGGTTCTGAATACCGCCATTAAAAACCGGGTCATGATTGATAACAGAAATGGCCAAAAGAGGAAGGCCTCCGATAACCATATGCTGCACATGTTTTGTTTAGTTTAGTTCTTGCAAGAAGAACTCTCAGAGACATGCCATTGAAAAAGAAAATGGAGACAAGTAAGATTTCAAAAGGGACAAGGATCGAGTATCATTACCAACCGGTAGCCATGATTGGATCCGAGTATTTTGAGACCCATCGAACCATCACTGTCCCAATAGCCATGCTCTGAGCTACAAGAAGCATCCACCACTCTCCACTTCCCCACAAGGAAAAGCTATTACCATCTGAAGTAACTGATGAAACCTGTAGTGAATCAGACATATCCTCAACTTGCAAGAACACTATCGTGATAGTAGCTCGGTCTTCGCCTAGATGATTAAATAAAATCTTTTACCTCAAGAAGCAAAAGTCCAGCAACCCCAAGAAGTAAACCTCCTGCTCTCACTAGTCCAATAGACTCACCAAATAAGAAAGATGGTAATACAGCTACAGTCAATGGCTGAGAATCAATTATAACCTGCAACAAGTTACAGCAAACAGATTAGCAACCCGAGAGCATCACGATAAAGAAGACGAACAAAGACTTAAAACTTTTGGTCATTTTGAGACAAGAGTAGCTTCCTTACACTTCCTAAACCAGCAGAAGTTCTCTGTAATCCTTGAGCAAGAA